GTAATTCTTACCCACTTATTTAAGTGAAGGTTTTTCTCAGCCCTTGTAAGAATACAAAACAGGAATATAGTTGATTTGGACCCTGACTCGGTACAGCCCTAGGTAATATTCATCTCTGGATATATGGGGACCAGGGTCAGGGGGAAGCTCATTTCATTGAGATCCATTTCCTGACACTTTTCCTTTTTATGTTTAATAATTATGAAATCTATGGTAAATATTTTGATCAACTTTATACTAATAATTTTGCTGATAACTGAATCCAGAAGTTACCATTTTAACACTTAGAGATTTAGGCCATAGTGAAAACAAATTTAGTATGTATATGTGTGTGTGTGTGTGTTTATGGCAGAGAAGTACGATAGGGTAATAAAAGATTTCAAGTACAAAAATGTGTTAAGATAAAGTTATATGGGGAAATAGAATGTGAACAGAAAAAGGAACTGTAAAATTTTCACCTGTTCAGGAAGAGACAGTTTTTAAATGGATAATGATGGGTTTCAAAATCACTCTGGTATTTAGGTTCCACTGGATACATTTTAAAAAGTGGTATAATTTATATTTTAAAATGTCAATTTTTATAGTATGCTGGAAATTACATTCTTAATCTGTGGTTAAGATTTTGATGTCAACTTAAAACGTGCCAGAGGGTACATAGTTTTTTTTTTTTTTTTTTTTAAAGATTTTATTTATTTGACAGAGAGAGAGACCGCGAGAGAGGGAACACAAGCAGGGGGAGTGGGAGAGGGAGAAGCAGGCTTCCTGCGGAGCAGGGAGCCCGATGCGGGGCTCGATCCCAGGACCCTGGGATCATGACCTGAGCCGAAGGCAGACGCTTAACCGGCTGAGCCACCCAGGCGCCCCCAGAGGGTACATAGTTTTTTTCAAAATGGTCAGTGGAGGTACTAGCAAACATCTTCAGGTCACTTGTGGGTCCCAATTCTGCTGGTTGCTGATGTACTTGAAACTTCTGTCATTGAAGACCAGTAAGTGGAACAGCTTCAGACCCCTCATGAATCTTCAGAGGAGTCCTGGAGTGTAGGTGCCTGGTGAGTGTCTTCTTAAGCCCTCTAATGTACGCTCCCAGTATTGTCTGCTGGGCTACTTGTCCATCCAGTCAGAGCTTTGGACTTGAGTAGCCATTGGCCTGCCAGCCCCAGGGGCATCATCCTGCCAGTGCACTGGAGTGTTAGTGTGTGTGTGTGTCTGTGTGCGCATGTGCTAAGGAGAGGGGAAATCACTGGTAGTTGGGTGGGGCAGGATGGGTGGGGTGCTGAGACCCACATTAATATGCAGTTTTGCTTTCTCAGGGGTAGGAAGCACCAGCCTGAGCAATCTGAGCAGTCCCTGCATCAAGTGGTCCCATTGCAGGTGCTCAGGGCAGCGTGTATCAGGCTATTCCCACTGTTAGGAGCAGTGGGAGGCCAGGGCACTGACACTAGGCGAGGGTTGGAGTGAAAATTCTCTGCCTCTCCCCTGTGGTATGCCGCTAGTGCTACAGTACCAAGGGCTCACACTTCGTTAGACTTTAAAGTCAGCCAGGTTTTGGGGCACCTGGGTGGCTCAGATGGTTAAGCATCTGCCTTCGGCTCAGGTCATGGTCCCGGGGTCCTGGGATCGAGCCCCACATCGGGCTCCCTGCTCGGCGGGAAGCCTGCTTCTCCCTCTCCCACTCCCCCTGCTTGTGTTCCCTCTCTCGCTGTGTCTCTCTCTGTCAAATAAGTAAATAAAATCTTTAAAAAAAAAAATAATAAATCAGCCAGATTTTGAATCAGGTATTTCTGCTTAATAGTGATAGAACCTTGGGTGAGTTGCCAGATTTCTGAAAGCTTCAGTTACCTAACTTCTAAAATGGGGGTAATAGCTGTCTTTCACAGTAGTGATTGTTAAATGAGCTAAGCAGGCAAAATGCATATTGTAAACATATGATCAGTAATTTTTATTATTAATATCAGGGTGAGGTGGAGCAGGTGGATTGGCTTGTAGGTAGAAAGGTTTCCCTAAGGAGATAAAGCCTAAACCGGCCCCTCAGCAGAGAGTAGGGGAGTCAGCCAGGCCATTGTAGGTCAGAAGAAAGGTCATTTTGGGCAGAGGGAGCAGTTTATCCTGAGACTGGTAAAGGCTAAAGAAAACTTGTTCCAGGAAGTTCAAGGACTTCAGTAAGGCTGCATATAGGTTAGGAGGAGTCAGAAAATTTGTTTAAGCAAGTTCTTATTTTATCTAGTTGTTAAAGAATGAGAATAATTTCTGAAGATTGCTGACTCACTCTGCCATAAGTATATGTTTTGTTTTGTTTTTTT